TTAGGTTAGAGATATCATCATTGGCTTCACTAATCACTCTGTGACTTCACTTCAGACTAGTATTGCTAGTCTAGTGTGTGAAGAAAATGTAGTACCAACATAAAGAAATAGTAGTATCAGGGAGAAACCTGAGAGAGGATATGATATGGACCCAAAATCTGTAACCGCAATATGTTGCCGCGCACTGCCCTCTGACAAAAAGTAGAAAAGTAAACTACATAGCAACGTCCACTTTTTTTAAGTCTTGTATCACCGATGAGATGCTATTAAAGACCGTCAACCTTGGGCAAATTTTCGGCGATATAAAAAAGGCCCGGAGGTAATTGAAGAATGTTGACATTATCGACAATTGTATAAATTTTATTAACATATTAACATAAATATTTGGCTATTATTAACATAAATATTTGGCTTATACATTTTTAAATTCATGATTTCTTATTATTAAAAATGTTCCATACTTGTAAAACTATATATTGCAGAAAAATTACAATTTTTTTTCTCAGTTATCATCTCTGTGATGAAGAAAGAACCAATCGCAATGATCATGTGATTAAATTATTCAAATGTGATTTGTTAATTTTTTCTCTGTCCGAGATTTCGGACAGATTTCTAGTATCGTGAACATCAGGCTTTAGAGTACATTGTTCATTTTTCAAGGCTGGAGATGCTCCATCTCCAGCCTTGAAAAATGAACAATGTTATATGTAACATGATAATGTGTGACATATAACACAATCATATGAAGTAAATATCGATTTATGATCTTCAGCCTTGAAAAATGATAAGTACTTTAAGAAAAGTGAACGTTGCCATGTAATTTACATCCACTTTGTCAAAGGGCAGTGTGCGCAGCAATATAATATGTGGCTACTGTGGCTGCTGTGCCTCATGTAACGCCGAGCGTGTCTGAGTGCCGGCGATGATTAATAAATGACGAAGAACAATTGGCGGGGAATCGTTAAATTTGTAAATAAATGTTACTCATTGATTCTAACTCATATGCCATAAGACAGTTAATATAAATTCAAATGAATATTTAGAACGTACAGATTAAAAGAGTAGAGACATGATTACGTGCATATGACGGCAGGAATATTGGTACCATTACTAGGTTAGAATATGAGAAACTCAAAAATAAGCGTTTATCTGACGACGCGGACGATTACCTAATGACATGAGCAATAACCAATGTCGATCTCGCAGAATAGAGAATGATCATTAATCTTACCGTCCTAACTAAAATCTATCGTTGAGGTTTAAAAGATCCGCACGCAGAACGCCATGTCACCAGAGAGAAAGAGAGAGAGAGAGAGAGAGAGAGAGAGAAGGAAAAACCGAAAAAAAAGAACTGACTCAAGCGCTACAATTAATATTTGCAACGCCACAAGCATTTTACGGTTATAGGTTTTGGGTCACCATGTCTTCTTTCAGATTTCTTTCTACCACAGTATAACCAATAGAGACACTCGGCAAAAAAATGCGTGTTCGCGCAGGTACGGCTGCGCAGCTTTTATTTTGGGCCGGATCCAATAAAATGTAAGATGACAAGAATGTACATATTACACAGATCCCGTGAGCAGATATTCGTGACAAAAGAAGACAATTTAAAAGTTGCGCCATAAATATTCCTAAAAAATAAATAAAAAAAAGAAAAGTTATATTACATGCAGTATAAACAATGCAGTAATAATATAATAATAGTAAAAATTCACAATGCACTTTTTTTCGTTATCCCAAAGATATCGTAAGTTTTTATAATTTACAAAAAGTAAGTTTATGTTAACTTAAACATAATCAAATTTAATTTTGTGAAAACAGATAATATTTTTACATTGACTACGTTTATACGGCACCCTTAATTATGTTTTTTAGAGCAAATTATGTTTTTTTGGGGCATTATATCCTCTTTCGTTCCTGGATTTTTCAAACATTAACATGGTGGATGCTCACGTGCTACGATGCAAAGATCAAAGGTGCCGACACGGAGTGTCCCTACTGTTATAGGTTATACTATTTCTATTATGTATACTTTATTGTCTAGTAACTTTAGGATCGATGTGATTTTTAGTGCCATCACGTCTTGCGGGAAATGTTTTGAAAGATGACTGTCATGTAGTCACCAAACCCCACGTATGTATATACATACATACGCGTATGTAAATACATATGTGTATACATAGTCATAAATTATCATTAATTTACTGACATCAAAAACTTTGAAATTAAAAAAAAAAATAAAAACGGGTCTTGAATAACAATTTTCTTCCTCAGAATATTCTAGACATGAAAATACACAAAGACCCGTATTCAAAACGCATTTATAACGATATTAGCGCGCTAACATACTATACATTACACATATTAAAGAATTTCAGAGATAAAAGCACGCTTTGAAAACGAGCCAAAGTATAGAATTACAAGAAAATAGAAGGAAAAATATTTATCAAATCCTCTAAGTTGACAGTTTTCTCCGATAGGAGCGCTCGAATTTCTTCTGCCATATAGCTACAGACTTTTATTATAACACTAGACTGGTAACTCCCCACCTTTCCTATTGTCAGATAGTATGTATTACTTGTGGCACATGCGCATTGTAAAACCACGTAGAACCGCGCAGAACATCATATGTTTATATATTTTCATATATTCGAAGAGATTTTATATATATATACACACACACACACACACACACAAAATGGACGAAATTAGACTTATTCAATGTGTTTTTGCATAAAATGAATGATCGAAAATATTATTTATTATTATATTATGATCTAAAATAAATAGTGGTGCACGTGGTTCGTAATAGTTCGAAAAGTTAGATTGCTTTGATCATCTCTTTACATACTTAAGAATCACAGAAAGAGGTTGGTCACGTGACCTGGCATCTTTCTTCTATACATGACGGTTTTCTATTGCGCATTCACTGCGCGCAACACTTTTATATAAGGAAAAGTGGGGAGTTAGCAGTTTAGTGTTATAATAGAAGTCTGTGCATACGTCGTGTTTTCATAATTTGTTTCCGACACTGTGTTTCGAGTCCATTCTTTTCAAAATCGGCCATTTAAGTTTAGTCTTTTTCTTATTATTTCGTAATTTGTATAAAAAATTTGATATCAATTGGCCGCCACGTTAAATCACTTTTCTTCCAAGTGTCAATCAAAGTAGTAATTATAGTTATTTAATTCTCTTTCCAAACTTATTATATCACAAAATTACGTAATCTTATTCAATTCTCTTTCAAAACTTATTATATCACAAAATTACGTAATCTTATTCAATTCAAGTGCTATCATAAAGAATTATAGAAGTAACAGTATACCCAATAAACGAAAATGGATTGGAAATTTTCAGTCCATCCGAATCCATATTTTAAATCTATAAAAATGAATTGAACTCCATATAAAAAATTTTTATACATGTAAAAGTTTGAATAAATTAAATCAGTAATTACATGAAATTTTATAGTTATTTTAAACTTTTATACAAAAAATATATTAGCTGTATATTAAAGGAAACATATTAATATAAAATATACATAAAAGCGATTAATTTATTAAATTATTAAAAATAAGGAATTTATGTATGTAACATTTATTATACGTATTTACATTTCTTTTTATGTTTCTTTTAACTATTAAATGAAGTATAATTCATGATTTATATTTTACGGTACAAATTTGTTTTAACTCAGTTGAATTAAAACGAAAAATTTCTTATTCATAATTTTGATAAAATAGTATTCATGATGTATTTTTAAATGAAATAATTATTTTCTGTTCACAATTTTAAATAGTATTCATGATCCATTTTAAGAAAATGGGCCATTAAGAAAAAACTTTTATTCAATTGGATTAAAACTGCATTTCTTATTTAGAATTTTGAATTTAACAGTATTCATAATAAAAAAAAGAAATGGTTGATATTATTTTTAGATTCAATTAGATTGAAAAATTGCATTTCTTATTCAGAATTTTTAATTAAGCAGTACTCACGACGCATACCACACTACACAAAATAATATTATTTTTATACTATAATATTATTTTTTAATTGAAAAACATAGAAATATATGCATGCCATTCCTAAATGAATAAAAATGTATTCAAGATTGAAAAGGAATTGACATTTGTTTCATGCAATTATATAAATACTAACTATAAATGAATAAAAATGCATTCAGGATTGAAAAAGATTTATTTTAACTTTTATGAATCTATATTTCTGAAAATCTGAATCCATTATAATTCATTTTAACCCATTCTCGTTTGCTGGGTAAGACCGGAATCAGACTACGCATTGAAGAATGAAATTGAAGACTGAAAGATTAAAGTTTGACAATCAGAACAAAAGAAGCCAAAACTTCTTTGTCCTCATTGGTAAAATTTTAATCTTTAATTTTTAATCTCAATCTTCAATGCATAGTCTGATTCCAGCCTAAGCCTGTTCTTTTTTGCTGAACTTTTGCACTAGTTCCTTCTATCTCTTCTTTCCTCCTGAAGAGAAAAGGAAGAAAGATGAACTGATACAAAAGTTCAGCAAAAAGAACAAGCCTGAAACAAAAAAATTTTAAATAGAAAAATTTTTTATGTACAATATTTGGCACTCTTAGATCGAATAAAGAAAACAATGAAAACAATTTAAAAATAATAATGAATTTAATTTGAATAAAAAATTTAATGTTTTTTTCTTTTTCATAACCTATTGTATTATATTTCAAGATCAAGCAGCCAAGTATATTACATAAAAAAATTTTTTATTTAATTAACATTTTTTTCATTTTTTTCATTTTACATTATACTTTTTTAATTTTTTGTGATAACACTTGAAGATTACGCAATTTGTGATATAATGTTTTGAAAGAGAATTAAATAACTACTACTTTGATTGGAAAAAGTGTGGGATTTAATTTGGCATCAGTTGATACGAAATCTTTTATACAAAATACGATCATTTACACACATCATTAGTTAAATAAATAATAAAGATAATACCACTTGGACTTTATTTTTTTTATTTGGTACACTAAAGATAGTGTTACTTGGATTTTATAATTTTAATTTGCTACAATAGTTTTGTTTCGAGGAGCATGTATTCTTGTAAAAATAATACAAAGTATGAATTTTAATATATAATTTGGTACAATAATCTTTTTTTTATAATGTACAGAGAGAATTATCTCTTATTGAAATTTTCTTGAAAGCTGTTTCTGACAAAAAAAATATGATTTTTAATCATAAAAGAAATTTTTTCACACCATTATGATTGAGAATATAGTACGTTAATGATGATAACAACGTAACGAGTGGATTTATGCACAATATTAAGCGCGATTCACTCACGTGTGATATTCAAAGGACAGCGGATTAGCTTTATTCGGGAATAATTGCTTCATTGATCATTGTAGAAAAAAAATGATTCAGGATTTTCCACCTCAATTTTTTATTAGGAATAGTGCTGTATAATTAGTGAGCACTATTTAAGAAACTTGTACTTAAAATAAAATAGATATTTGAAGTTGGTGTATATTTGAATTTGTCGAAAACAAAAATTTTAATATAGCGAACAACAAGCCTATGATTTCCTACATTCAATATCTGTATAGAATTTCCACGGAAATTTTGTAAGAATTTCAAATTTGTTAATAAATCTAGTTCAGCATTTCATTCAATGTTCTATGTAGAATACCCAAGTACGTTGTTACAAGATATTCCATTTTTCAATTAGATTAATTGGCTATCCACTCTCCTTTTCTTTGTGTAGGCGCGCGCGCGCGCGCGCGCGCGTGTGTGTATGTGTATGCGCGCATACATATTTATATCTTTTTCAGTATAAATGAATTTTACTAGTATCATATTAATACGCATCTATTAGTAAATTCATTTTTTTCTCAATAATTACAACTCCTCAAAGAAGGCGACTCTAGCTTTAGTGGATCCGGATTTCACTTTTTTTAGGGTGCTGTATTTATTCTCGCCGAGTCGAACTTGTTCCTCATGCAAGTGATCCAATTCGCTCTGCTTATCACCAACTTTTAAACCTTCAATTTCGGAACGTAATTCTCGTAGTTGTTCCTGTAAATGTTTACTCTTCTCTAAATAATCGCTCCTTTCCCTTTCAATCTCTAATGAAAGTTGATCGACATCTCCATCACTAATAAGATCATAGGATGTTAAATCAGGTGGTAAAGGTTCTGCATGTAAAGGTTCTAATTGTAGAGTCTGAAGATCTGCTTGTAGATCTGACGGAAGTACTTGCGTAGACGGAAATAAATTTGGCACAGGCTGTCAACAAATTAAATAAGCGATTTATAAATTTTATGAATAAATAAATAAATATATATGTGTCCCAGAATAATCACCAAATATTTCATATGCTGATAAAACAGATTAAATTAAGTTGAAAAGTCCTTTATTAAGTCCTTAATTTTCGCAATTATAGTTAATAAGATATTAATTACTAAAAATCGCTGAATATTGAATTTTCATTAATTGTTTACTCAATTATTATCAATTTTAGAAAAACAGCAAGTGACAAAAACTATTTATTTTCTTTTCATAGAATTCTGAGAATTTTATCAGAATTTTTCAGTACCGCATTTTCTCATGTTGGTCAAAAAAATAATTGCTAATAAGAAAATACAGTACTAAAAAGTTGATAAAAAATTTTGAAAAAATTTTTAGAGCTCTACGAGAAAAAAATAAACAATATTTGTCATTCGTTTTTCTGTGAAATTGATAGTGCTTCAATAAAAAATTAATGAAAACCAATATTCAGTTTTTTTTAATAGCTTGTTAATTATTGCGAAAATTGCAAAATAATAAAGGATTTTTCAACTCAGTTTAGTCCGCTCTATCAGCACACGAAATATTTGGTAATCATTCTGGAATATATATATATATATGTATATATACAAGGAATTTCGATATTTTGGGATTAGAATTCTTATCTCAAAATGACTTGAGGAATCTGCCATTAGCAGGTGGTGCGTCTGAAACGTCCTGTATATACAGTGTCCTTCAAAAGTTCAGGGCAGTATCTAAATAATTCTGGATAGTTTGAGATATAACATTGAAACTTATAAGGATACAATAGGTGCATCAAGAATGCTCAGTGAGTTCTTGCATCTAATTGCATATTCCATTAGATTTAAAAATATAAATCAAATAGGTACAACAAAAGCCACCGATGCACCTAATGTACCTAATGGGATCATAACATTTTTCGGATACTTTCTAGCAAGGTCAGGACCACAGTCAAACACTGTTGCCTTCGCTTTGTCGTTTACAGTGAGTATCAATTGTCCTTGTTTAATATTTACTAAACGAGGATGGAATGACACTTAAACCGTTATAAATATCAGAGCGAACACTGCCTATGTAACACAGTGATTCGTTTCATCCTTGTTTAACATAGACAAACAACAAGGATGTAATGATTCCACACTCAGTATTACTTAAAATAAGTTAAACTCAGTTAAAAGTTTAGTAACCATGAGTTGTGAAACTGGGTTTAATGCTCGTTTCCACCAATGTAGATTAACTTTAATCTCGGTTCAACTTACTCTTCATTTTTTTTCTAATTCAAAAGATTAGAAAAAGAATAAGTTGGATCGAAATTAAAGTTAATCTACATTGGTGGGCATAAAGGATCCCATGTAATTATTGGTTAACTTAATCGAGGTTCAATTTGTTTCTCTTTCTAGAATTGGAAAGAGACAATGAATAATTTAAACTTCGGTTAAGAATTAATCATGAGTTGTGGAACTGGGCCTAAGAATACAAAGAACTCAATTAGTTCAACCCTTATTGAAATCTAATAATCTCGGTTCTCAACTCGCCGCTCGCTTCGATACACGGTCTAATCAATGAGTCATGTTACTGCACTTGTCTTAGCGATAAGTATAAGATAGTACCGTGTCTCCTGATATAAAAAATATGAATGTTCTCATATACCATAAAAGTGCAGCAATATTGTTGAAATGTGTTGCAACCATAAGAAAAAACCGAGACTGCGCTCGGTTTGTACGCTCACACACTGTAAACGCTAATGTTTATAAGCGTTGTTTTTTTATTTGATTTGTCAGTGCTCATTAAACAAATAAGTGAAATCATTCATTTTGGCTATTAAACGTTAAGTTTGGACAAGTAAATAATTATCATAATTAATTATAATTGATCGTAAGTAATTCGTTTCTTATATGTTAAAAATAAAAATTTATGAAATTTTAATAAGTATCTGTTTAAATAATATCAATGAGACATTTGTTTATAGCGAATAAAAATTTATTCAATAAAAAGTAATACTTTGATTTAAGTATTATTTCTTAAAATAAATATTTATTTACTAGCAAATGTCCCATTGGTACTAGTTAAACAAATAGTGACCTAATTTATATCGTGCATTTGATATACATACTAACTAATAACTTTCTATTAAATTATTTTAATTTCAGCGATGTTATTTAAAGAACTACTTGTACTACAATAAATTGATACAATATGCATCAAAATAATTAAATACATATCTCGTGTATATGTTTCGCCGAAATTAAGATAATTCATAGAAAGTTATTAGTTAGTACTCATATTAAGTGCACGATGTAAACTAAGCCATTACAATTTTTGTAAATTTTTTTTCAATATAACCTGTTTTTGTCTTACAATCTCTTATTTCTTTTCAACAAAAATTCAAATTGTATTTTATCGGGAATTAGAGATATCGTGTATATATTTTCAATCTGTGCAACTTTTAAATCAACTAGAACTTTCTATCTGTTCTTCTATCTGTTAATGCCATCTTCGTATGAGTAAATTCTTTTTCTGAGTAATTTCTTTTTTCTATTTTTTGGTAAAAATTTAAACATTCCATTTCTTGTTGGACAAAATCCTTTTTTTATTAGCACAAAATCAGGAAACGTTTGTAGACATTGTATACAAATATATTACGAGAACGTTGAAATATGCATGCACATTCGTTAAGCATTTCTCTAATCATGAAAAAACGTGCATGTATCTAACCTACTAAGATTAGAATGGAACACGTTTATTTTGTACCAATAAGCGGTCATGCTTTTGCTGCCCTATCTCGATGAAATAAGCATTTGTGAGCACCAGTATGACGTCACGGATGACGTCATGAACGGATTTCTGAATACTTACATCGCCAAAGCGAACGATGTAAGCAATGCTTATAAGCGCTTAAAGCGTATGAGCGTGCAAATCGAACACAGCCCAAGTGTGAGGTTTGAAACATGAAGATTAGGTAGAAAAAGACGGACAATGGATGCACCAGAGAGAAATTAAGGAAGAGCGAAGCGGATAGTGTTTCTTTTCTTTGATTCCGCCGTTTATAGCTCAACTTCAGCAAATGTGCATGTGTACGTATATATACACAATACTAGTACGGTACAATACTAGTGTGTGCAGCACCGTATGTTTCATCACATGCTTCTACCATATCTCGTACTCACTCTAACGAACGGCGGTTTCCGGCTGAATTCGCTCCACACTTCCTTGATTCTCTGGGATGTCATGTAGCTTTCTCTTTCTGACTAGGAAAGCATGGAGGAGGAGAGGGTAAGATGTGATTGGTATGTGAATATCTTGTTCTCTGTCCTTTTTTACCTATCTTCATGCTAAAGTAGAGGAGACGTTCGGTCTATTCTTATTATGTCTATGGTTGCAACATTGCATATTGCAACGACATTTGGGCAGACCTGAATTAGACAGAGCACTGGCGTTTATCCTTTGTTATTTACGCTTCGTCTTGCTCATGATGGAAGAAGACAGACCTATCATGTCGGAGTAAATTCCGATCGAAATCCATTCCGACTTGCTCCATGATAGGTGCCCAAACGATGAGACAACGCGCAACAGCAATCCAGAGCTAATCAATCAAATTTGGTCCTACTGCGCACCTCTCAAATTATCTCATCTGTCTTCTACCACAACGCTCACCGAGAGGGCGGAGAAAAAACTCTGGTTCACGAGCCGAGTTTTGGGCAGGTCTGATAATATAAATATCTCTAATTGCATTATTTATGAATATTATGTACTTACAGTTATGGTAGAGGTATAGGCATTTCTACTCAGGAACTCTAATAATTTTTCCTTAGCTTCTTTCTCAGCGATTCTTGCACGTAATAATTCGTCTTTTAATTTTTCTGCTTCAGCAGCTCTACGTTCCGATTCTTGAACTAGTCTTTCAGTTAATAATTCAGCTTCTCTAGTTTTCCGTTCCAAATGGACTTTTTCTTCTTCAGTCTTCATATTATTCAATCGTATACGCGTGATTTCTTGTTCAGCTTCCGATGCTTTCTGACTTAAAAGCATTGCTTCTTCTTCTGCTACACGACTTTTCTCAGCTAAAAGATCTGCCGTCTCTTCAGACCTTCTCTATAAAATTAAATACATACATTTTCTATGTATATATTAATTTATATTTTTATATGTTTATTTCTATATTTTTCTATGTCAGTTTCTTACAAGAGCTTCATTCGCCAATCGTATCTCCTCCTGATATTGTAGAAGTCGCTGTTCCATTGCAGCCTTTTCTCTTTCTGCTGCCTCTCTTAATTGTTTTTCTCGTGCTAATTTATTTCTTTCAATTTGCCTCCTACATATAATGTCATAAATATTTTTAAAAGATTCAGATGATCAAATAATGATAAAAATATAATTTAAATTAATCATCAAATTAGATCATTATCACATTTTATTTCCTTAAATATAATGTATTCGATAATATAGCAATCTCCGATCTGTTAAAAAAATATCTGGACTTCGATTATAATACTTACAAATATACAACCAACAGGTTAATTCCATTCAAAGTATATGCCTTTGCAATTTAATACACTTATTCACACATTATTTTTGTGATTATTTTCATCGTTTAAAAGAAGATTATGGAGAAATTATAATTGTATAATTACATTATACAATTATATAATGTAATTATTTTCGAAAAGTTATACATTTCATCAGCGACCTTGATCTAAGAAGGCACTATACAGGACAGAGTCAGCTTTTTAAATTAAATAAAAATTGTGTTTGAGATAAAAATTATGTTGAAATATCATAATTTTTATTTAAAAAGATCATCCAGTGAGATGACCTCTGTCCAGCTATGCGGAAATAAAAGATGAATAGCTCAGAATTAGGAACTCTTTATAAATTTTTGAATTAGTGCAGTTTCAATTTTTGAACTCCATTCTTTATTCTCAAAACAATCCCAAAACTAATTTACACTCAAAAGATAAGTCATAGAAAATAGCATTATATCTACTAATTTCATTAATAAAAATGGTTCCAACATTAATGTGATACAAAAATATATAATCTTTTGATTTTGAGTTGCAACCTCTTAACAGGAAAATTATTTCTGGCACGTAAGAAAGAATTATGTTAGAAAATTAGAAAATAATTAATCTCAAGACTGCAAATTATCTGCTAATTTAGGAGCTCTCGGAATATATATAAATCGATTTTTCACCTACAGAAAAATCATCCTTATTTAATCTTATTTGCGAATAAGACTCAGCCGTGATATAAGAGCTAATGATATATTTCGCTAATTATGATATTATTAATTCAATGTTTCTTAAAGTTCGAATACAGTCCAGGCATATTAATAAAATACGATACCATATCTACATTGTAGCAGAACGAAATAATGAAGGTCTTTTCTTTCATCATTATTTCTTTAAGATAAATTCAGCAAAAAAAATTATTTATTACTTATCAGGGTATCCTTTATATATTGTCAGAGTTTTATAATTTTTAAATTCCCGAGTTGAGGGCCTTTCCTTGTCAGTTATGTAGACAATGTGAAGTCATTAAACATCTTTTTGAATATAAACATAGAATTTGTGATAACAAACCGTTTTATGAAAGAAGATACGTTTACTTACCTGGATTTTTCTTCCTTGGCTTGTGCTTTCATTTGTTGAACTTCCATGGAATCCGGTTTGCGTCTCCTCATAAATAGATCGTGATTGCCAATACATAGATCTAGGATCTTAACAAATAATACGTGAGCAGCTGTGTCACTATTATGTTCGTTCAACTTTAAAGCTATTAAACCCCTCACCCAGCTGCCAACATCTGATTGTTTTTTTACCAGTTTGTTCATGCGAGTTTTCTGCGAGAAGAACATGAAGTTTGGTGATGTTTTCTCTACAGGCTTGATTATAAACTTCTTATCGTCAAAACTAATGTGACGAATTTCCGACCATGTAAACGTTGTCTTCGGTGCCAATTTATTTTCTTTTTCATAAATATTCAATCCCAATGCTGTAACTCCAAGCCAAAGATCTGTTTCCTTCTTATTCTACGATGTAAAACAAGAAAATTTATTATTAATAGATTTTTTTAAGATATCAAAATATTAAAATATTAAAGAATACACAAAATATTGGTAAATGTTTACTTTAGGGAGATATCTGAAATTCTTGACTTTAACATATGTTGTATAGTCATATACATGTCAAGAATACTCTCCTGAGTGCTCTCTAAAAAGTTTTTAATCATGGCTCATTATTAAAAAGTTATTAAAAAATTAAGTTAATTATCCTCTCTAATAGTTTTAATAGTAATAAAATACATTATTTTTGCATGGAAAGTTATAAACCCATGTGGAATCTTTATATACATTTAAAGTGCGTAAATATGCAATTTTTTTAAAAGTAGGTTTCGCGCTCGGTGACTCCACTATCAAAAAATTAGATACACATAAATTTGGGTTGAATCTTCCTTCAAAAATTGTAAATCCAACTTTGCTTCGTGTTGAAAATTGTAAAACCAAAGTTAAATTAGTTTTTTTTCTTTACTAACGTCTCCCCTCCCCCTCCGAGAACTCACTGGCTCTATACACATACATATAATGTATATATTTAGCGAAGCAAGGTACTACACGAGTTTGTAACTTTTCACGCGAAGCGAGATTCAACTCAAACTTATTTTTTGATAATGGAGCTTCCCTTCCCCATAAGAGAAAAAGGTGAAATCCAGTGCGTTCATGCATACATTTTATAAAACAAAATAAAATTCCACATAGATTTAACCATAGGTACAAGGCATATAAATGCTAATATTGATATTTAGATTAAATAAAATTGAACTTTTCGGTTTGTATCTTTTTAATAAACAATAAGCGACAAGTAAAATCTTTTGGAAGTTGTTCAGAAGAGTGTCCTTGACAACAAATATCAAGGTCAAGATCATCGCAAGTGCCTTCTCTAAAGTGAACATTTACGAAAGATTTTATTAGTTAATATAAATTACATATAAATTATATTATATACCTACACTAATAGGAAAATAATTCACACCATACATATCAAGATCCTGAGCAATTTTAAGATATTCCATTTCTGCTTCGTCTCGAGACATGCCACGATGATCGGCGTACCAAATTTTTATCCTATCCTCCCACATTTCTGGAGTCATTTGATATTGATCTATAACTCTTTGTGGAAGCAAGTCCTCACTGGCAAGCATTCCAGGACGATATGAAATTTCATCATAATCACCATACTAATAATCAAAATAGAAATTATTATTTTTTTCCATTATACACATATTACAATCAATTTTTGTAAAAAAAAAAACTAACTTTCGAACGCATATTTAAATCAAATATATACAAATCAATATACATATATAAGATATCCTATTTTAATAGCTATGAACAAACAGCCTCGAAAAACATGGAAGAAAAAAATGTTTCGATAAAAGTACAGCTTGAAGAAGGAAGGGAAAGAATGGAAATAATAAAATCAATTTTCGAAAAAAAAATCAATTTTTGAAGATGTGAAGACTATCACATTCCATTTTTTGGAATTATATGATTTTTTGACTTACTTAATATGATTCCTGTAATTATTCTGCATATTAAGTTAAAAATATAAAATAGTTTATGAAATATTTTATACTTCATTTTGGCACATTTTGATATGCGATAAACTAATTTTTCGATATCATAATATTTTTATACACAGAATGATGAGATAAATCAATTGATGTAAAGAAAACACATAATTTAAAAAATGATATGTAGAGTGTCAAATTATTTTGTAGAAGCTTGTAGGTGGATCAAACTGAATCGAAACATCCTCTATCATCTTGCAATTTTCGCAATAGTTGACGAGATATTAATTTTTAAAAATCATCGAATAAACAAATAAAATCGATGCATGACACAACTTTAAGATATCTTTTAGAATTCTTTATGAAATACTTTAAAGTGTTTCTTAAAGAACTTCTAAATTATGCGTCAATTTTAGACATTCTGCTCATTGAATAATTAAAAAAAAAATTGCAAAAATTGCAAAATGGTAGACGACTTTTCGATTCAGTTTAGCTCGCTCTGCCCACAAACAGTGTATCAAAAAGTTTGGGACACTTTGTATAAGGTAACCGGACTTTATTATGGCCTAGCATCTAATATGCTCTACTCGCTGTTTATGAGTAATTACATGATGAATTCAACAGATTGCTTGCAGATGGACAAAGATTAACATAAGTTATAGATTGATTAAAACATTGCGTTGACCTGTCACTACAACTCACGTTTCACGACGTTTCACTTAGTTACGATCATCTTTGTGCTGAGGTCCTTGAATGCATCAGACTTGATTGTATCAATTTATTATTCAGTTTGCTCATTTTATATTGCTAAAAAATTAGGAAATAATAGGGAATCACTTGAAGCACTAAAAAAAGAGCAAATTCAAAATTATATATCTTTGAAAAACATAGCCGCAAAACGATGTTTAAAAAGTATTTAAAGCTTCATTTTTTTAATGTTTGAAATCTCACGTGTTTGCAATAAATTCACTACAAATGGCACTAGTTTGAAGTGAATCATATAGTCAAATTATGCATACGGATAATAAGTATATGTACGTACATACATCGATCATAATGTTTTTTTATTTTTATTTTAAATGGATTCTAATTCACTTATTAAACATCGTTGAAATAATGAAAATAAATTTAATTAAATAAGACAATTTCTATATTCAGTCAAAGCAAATCCTGCTTAAATATTTTTATGTAAATTTATATACATATCTGATTCTAAACTAAACTGCACACCGAAATTTTTTTCGGTTTTCAAACGCAATCATGAGCAGAATTAGAGTAGTAGTAATTAAAATTTACAAGTCATTTTTAAAGCTAGTAAGCATTTTTATAAGAATTAAAAATTAAATGTTAATTTATTTAATGTTATGAAATCTTATATTTGCAAATAATTTTATTGCGAAAAATATTGCCTCAGTCAAAGTTTGAACCTGGAACTCTCAGTAAATAAGTAAATAAGTCAATTGTTTAGAAAACATTTTTTATATATTTTTACATATCAATAAACACATCAATATGTTAATAAATTTATAATCCTATAAAAGTAATATAGAATCACTTTATCTTCTATTTTTTTCAAATATCTTTTTACGAAAAAAGGATATGTATTTTACTTAAATCATGTCAGATACACATGCATGATTTAAGTATATGTTTCCCAATTTTTTGTAAAAAAATATTTTATAAGATGAAAAATATAATCTACTTTTTCTTAAAATCTTCACTGCACATATTTGTAATAGTTTTATATTTTACTATGAAAAATGTTTCCTTTTTTAAATTTATTTTTAAGTTTCCAACTTTTAATTCTGAAAAAATTAGAAAAAGTCTCAAAAATCAGTTAAATCATGTAGGATGCAGTTATCTTATTCGCATATTACAAATTGCACAGTTGCTTTTCTTTAAAAGTATGTGTTTCTTATATCAGTTGATTCATCTCAACTTTTATTCTGCATAAAAGTATTAAGGTATAATTATAAAACATAATAATTATAATGTAATTAAAAAAGATAATAGTTTATGAGATATTTGACATTTTATGTCAATATATGCCAGAATAAAATATAAGATACCTCGTAAACTATTAATTCTTTTTTATATCTCTACTTTAATACTTTTATATGCAAAATAATTAAAGGAATCATGTTACAGAAAAAGATCATATAATTTCATTTTTAAAAATGGTAATGATCTTTATATGTTTGATTTCAACTTAAAAAAAGAACGTGTACAATATGTCCCTCTTAAAACTGTTCCATTTTCATCTGAAACATTTTTTAATAAAAAATAAGTAAAATATTCAAGATTTTTAATTTCCAAATTGTGTGTGTGTGTGTGTGTGTGTGTGTGTGTGTGTGTGTGTGTGTGTGTATTTGAGGCATATGTTTGAGAAGTAAATCAAGTCCAAAATCTATTTGCTTTAAAAGTCGCGTTCTATTTGATAGGAATTTTACAATATCTTTGGATTTGATACAGTTTTCATCTAAGCAATTGATACCTAAGCAATTGAAATGTGTATAATTTATGTTTCTAATTTAAATTTTTTAAATA